GAGAGAGAGAGAGAGAGAGAGAGAGAGAGAGAGAGAGAGAGAGAGAGAGAGAGAGAGAGAACTGTAGGGCAGGATACTTGGGTACCTACCAGATCTAAGTCATGGTTGCATGCGCTGATGAACGCCAAGCTATCTGAACTCTGAATTTGTACAATACAAGTATTCGTTGAAGTTTTCAGAGCTGTGCTGATTTAATATTCCGTATCTGGCTTTGGTGCGAATCTCTATGTGAGCTTTCATTGTGCATGTTGTGTGGAAAGCAAATCTGAGCGGATCATTGCATTTCTCTTTCCCCCTTTTCTTTGGGAGGGGGGAGGGGGGGAAGCGACAGGAGTCTTGCAAGATTTGCAGGGTACAAGGTTGGTCACTTCTGACTGTGATCAGTACTACACCCTCATAATCAAAATACTTTGGGCGATCCTGTACTGCCGGCCTTTGGATGTTCGGACTGACAGCCAAAATCGTCCGAAAGGATAGTTTTTCGTGTAATGTCTCTGGGCCCATTCAAGCAACACCTATCATTTTCCAACGTCGTGTGCTGCAGCTGTTGATCAATCGTTGTGGAATGACCTTTCCTTGAGAGGCGGGGGTGTCGCAGGGCGGATTGTGTCAGAGAAGGCATTGCAATTCCTTTTCCTTCCGGCCAGTACAGGAACAAACAGTCATGACTATGTCGTAATGTTTTTCACGTCGCTTTTTGTTTTCAGTTTTTCCATCGGATTTTATTTTGTTGCACATGTAGCATTCCATTCTATGATGTGTTATCTACTGCAAACTTGCAGTAGAAAATTTGGCTCCCGGCGTATGTCCCACGGTCCAACTGAGTCCCCTCGCTTGGCACTGGGAGTGCAGAAGTTGGGGATAGCCCAGTCTTGTCAGGCACCGCCAACCGTTGAGCGCAAGGCAACCCACCCACCCACGCTTGCATGCCCACCCACAGCCACACAGGTACACAAGCACGCCTGCAAACACACACGCTCACATGCACACCAATCTACACCCCCACACACACACATGCAAGCACGCCCACTGACACGCACGCACGCACGCATGCAGAGTGGGCAAATGTTTTCGGTGTTTCTTTTCTTTTGTGCACTCGATGATTTACGTCCTGTTTCGTTTCGTGTTTTCTATGGTTCTTTTTCTTATTTTGCTTTCGATTGACGTGCATGAACACGAGAGAGAGAGAGAGAGAGAGAG